GACATGGGCCAGAGGAAGTAGCCCTCATCCCTCAGCATTCACCCTCTATCCCCCCACAGATCCTCCATCTGGGGCAGGAACCAGCCACAAGACCCGAGAGGTCGTTATCTACATATGCAACACCTATGGCATCTACCCACAAGGAACTGGTCTGCTATGGACTCTGGACTGTGAGATGCAAGAGTCTAAGCCAGGGGGTGACGTCATTCCCAGCGGCGGGTGCATTTACCTGTCCTCCCTGGTAGCAGGGGTGCCCCAAAGGAAGGAGACCTTTATCACTTAGAAACGGAGAATGGTGCCCAGGCCCAGCGCCTCTCGGTGCCCTCTAATGGCAGACAGGACGCAGAGGCTGGGGGCAGTGGGGAATCTCAGTCCCAGTAGCCGCCCTTTCTGCCTGTCCTGAGAGAGCCGAACTTCACAAGTCACCCTCAGTGGCATTGGCAAGGCCCAGGAGCAGTGCACAGGACAGACAGGAAGGAGACTCCTAGAGAAGAGTGGGAACGCCGGGCACTGAGCTGACTCTCATGGCCATGTCGCCTCACCTTGCTAATCACGGCCCCCGTGTCCAATCTGTAGAACCTAATAAACAATAAACTTGCCCAGCACAAAACACATGGGTGTTTTTCATTTTGGAATACTGTCAAAGTGAGAGCCAGCGTCACCATGCCTCCTATTCCTAAGCATTCAACTCTTCCCAAATTCTTGGTCTTTACTCAAAGCCATGTGTCCTGGGTACTTTGACTTGTGCGATCCCAAGTGTGACTTAGACCACCTGGTCCCTTGGATATTGTCCTAGCTTCCACTGCTGACATCCACAGATGTGGCCATGGCCCCTCTCCCTGTGATGACCCAGAATTATGCAACCTCTGCATCCTCTGCAAAACAAATCAAGACTTTTTATGCCTCAGTTTCCCCAGAATTCCCTATAAGACATCTCCCTCCACTCCAGCTACTCCACAGCATGTTGGCCTTGACCCACACACAGCAGAATTTAGTTGAGAACCCTCAGCCCCCAGGGCACAACTCAAGGAAGCAGGAACTGGCCCTGAGATTCTTAGACTCCCGCCAAATCCCTGTGATTCTGTTTGTTCAGCTAAGTCACCAACTGCCACACACAGGTTTCAACCCCAAAGACAGAGCAGAACTCTTATATACCTGATCTTTGCACTAAACATCCCCTGCCTAGGACTGTGTTTTTCTTTCTTCAGGGACAAGAACTTCCTGTACCTCCCACCCCAGATTACTCCAAAATTAGTCCTCATAGCTAAGATCCTGAAAGAAACTATTCCCAGCCATCGAGATTCTGACTCAACCATCTTATCTTTCCTGAAAGCCTAACTTTGAAGGCTATAACTTTTTTTTTTTTTTACCGCTTCTGCTCCAAATTGAAAATCAAAGCTAGAAAATTACTCCTTTAGTCTACATAAAATCCACATTCCCTTCCTCTGGCACAAAAGTCCTATCTGGACAGCAGAGCGGTCCCAGGGAAAAAAAGATAAAAATTGCCAAGAGGAAAAAAATATCACAATTGATATTTTTTTTTTCTTTTTTTTTTTTTTAAAGACTAGTCAAGTGCAGTAGTGAGGAGGGGGGAAAGTAGTAGAACAAGGAGTTCAATCTGTAACTGACTGTGAACAATCACGTGAGATAACTCACTACCTTCGGACCAGCCACAATTGATATTTTAACATATGATGACACCTCCTACAAATGAAAGAGTAAGATAAATATTTCAGATCAACAAGGAAATCGAAGTCCACGTGAACCCTCCAGGGCTGAGGAAGGCTGGAGTATGAGACTTGGTCTCGCCTACAACAGGAGAAATGAGTAGAGGAGAATGAGGGGAAGGAGATTTGGAAGACTCAAGGTGTCGCCAGGTGTGGGGAAAAGGACAGGGGCCCAGTGCTGTTAGACATCAGAGAAAACTTCCTGGAGGGACTCAGACTTCAGAGGAGACAGGAAGGCCTAAGACAGCTGGCCACGAAGAAAAGGTCAGAAGAAGTTTCCTCACCAGGTGGGTGTGAGGCAGCTGAGAGGGGAGAGTCACAAGAGCCTGAAAAGGGAGGTGACCTGGGAGTAGGGCTGGGACACAGGCATTCACTCAGCATCAACAAGGACAATTAAGGGGTCCAGAAAAGCCCATGTTGTTTCTTCCATGGTCACCTCCTGCTCACAAACACATTGTCCCGCAGGCAGGGCCAACACCAAGGGCCATTTGAAGACGCCCCAACCTGGAGAGGCTCTTTATCACAAATTATCTCCGTCGTTAATAATTCTTCAGTGCCTTTAGAATACCATGTCACTCTGTACTTGGGGAAACCTCTGCAAATAGCCCACCATCCTCCAAAGGTTCATGGAAAGACCCGGCTTCCAGAAAACTGGCTGTGTCTGTATAGTATTAGATTTTGTGCATTAAAAATTATCTTGAGCATGCCTGTAGTCCCAGCTTTTCGGGAGGCTGAGGCAGGAGGATTGCTTGAGCCCAGGAGTTTGAGGTTGCTGTGAGCTAGGCTGATGCCACGGCACTCACTCTAGCCTGGGCAATAAGCGAGACTCTGTCTCAAAAAAAAAAAAAAATTATCTTGAGAATAACTGGCAAAGGAGCACTAGGCACAAAAATGTTGAGAACCGCTGATCTAGAGGAATGGGGCAGCCAGAGGCCAGTCATGAAAGAAAGGACACGTGTGGAATGTTCCCCGTTCATCACATGACAATGGACATAGCCACTGACCAGAGCTCTCCACAATCTGATGCCAACCTCCGTTCTGCATTCATCATCCCACAACCCCACCTCAATCATCTTCATCAACTCTATTTCCACCCAGTTGCCCTCAACAACCATCACAGGTGTCCAGTCTCTCTTGTGCCCTTGCTCATTCATTTTCGTTAGTGCTTATCAACTGTCTTCTTTGTGCCAAGCATGGGGGACATAGAAAGAAACAGGACAGACACCCTCCCCATCCCTATGAAATTGGGCCCCATTGCCAACAGCAATTCTGCTCACCCCCCTACCCCCATGACATCCTTCCTGATGGCTTTCCAGACTGGAGATCTTTCTCCATGAAGCTCTTGTTCGTTAACAGTGACCATCAGTACCAATTCTACAAGACTGGCATAATGTCTGAATCACAGTGTATTATCAGATGGATTAGGTTTTTGTAGTTTTTCCATGTTCATATTCTCTTTATTGATTTATTTTTTTATTCCAAAGTAATACAGGGTTACAAATGTTTTGTTTACAAGGATCACTTTTGTAATGCTGGAGTCTGGGTAATAAGTATACCCATCACCAAGATAATGTTCATCGTACCCCTTAGGTAGGTTTTTGCCAATCACCTACTCCCCACTCCCTACTGCATAACTCTAATTTTATATTACTGAGGTTTTTGGTTTGTTTGTTTTGCTTTAACATATATATAATTTTCATTTTTTTTTGGTAGACGAGGGTGTCACTAATTATCCCAGGCTGGGCTTGAACTGAAGATTCTCCCACTCAGCCTCCTCAGTAGTTGGGACCACAGGTGCACCCTACAAGTACCTGACCCACCCCCAGCTATTCAGGTCTTCATAATAAGGCTTTATTGGTGGCTTTTATCTCTTTTATTCCAGCAACTATTAAATATAAAAGATTCTGCACTACTACAGAAATTGCTCAATATTCAGACTGCACTGTGAGTCACTAATCTGTGCATTGGAGTTTATTTTCTTTTCCTTTACATTTTCTACCACTTCTGGAATAAAACATCCCAGCTCTTGGACCTTGGTTTCCTCATGTTCTTCACTCTTTCTTATAGTATCAGCCACTGTGGACTTACACCATTCCTTCTGAGAACATTTTACCCTAGTCCACCACACGACAGTTCTCAGCCAGCTGTGTTACCCGTCACTGCACACCAGGTCTGCCAGAAATCTCCCAGGACCTCTGCACAGTCAATGCGTTCAGCCCAATCCAGCCTGTAACCAGTGTCCGGTTGTCGTCCCTGCATTTCCCTGAGCAACTACTGCCTGAAAACAGCTCTTGTGCTCATTTCTTATCAGTCAGGATCATTCATCATCACAAACATAATTGAAATCTGACTTTAAGCAGACAATTGATTTTTCTATTGATTAGTTCTCAGAGTCCACACACAGGACAAAGAGCCCAGACTCAGAATTAGGCAGAAGCACAAAGTCACACCCCACAACTAGTCCTGGAGACACACTGCAGCTGCCAGCAGGGTGCACCAGATGCCATGGCAAGGACCAATATGCCATCACCAAGGACTGGACATTGGACGCTCTATGGCTACTGCTGCCCCGCTGTCCCCAGGAGCTGGCAGTTCTGGCCACTGCCAAGACCAACAGAAGGGATTGTCCACCGTGCCTGCTTCTCTGTTTCCCTGACCCTGACTCAACAACCAGGACAAAAGCTCCTGCCTGCTGAACTCATGCCATGTGCACACCGGGTCCTTCTATGGCAATGGAGGCTGCAAAATGGGGAGTCTAGCTACTTCCTTTTTGATGATGGAAGATCAGGATTCCCTGAGCATAGAAATTCAGCAGGGAGAAATGTGATTGTCCTCTACACACAGCTAGGGCAGGGTAGGGTGGGAGACAGTGATGGTCACACCCCTGCTGGGATCTACTCATGTCCAGGTTTTGGACGAGTTGACAGCTTTTCCAGAGAGGAAGGATGAAGTCTAGTCTGACAAAACCCTAATTCCCATACTCCTCCCATGAGGATGTCATGATACACTTGGAGGCTGACACACATCCTGCCCTCTGTCCCCTGCCACACACAGCCACTCCAGCCCACTGACATCCTTCCACCTGAGACAGACACCGTGCCCCAGTCCTGCGACCAGCTGTCTCAGCTCTCAATCTGCAGACTCTGTCTGTGGCGCAGTGACCACAACCTCTGCCTATCCTGCTTCCTGTGGCCTGTTTCCTCACCATTACGGGAGGAGCTCTTCCTTGCACTCTCATTGGCCTGTAGATTCTCCTCCCCTGGGCAGGTACCCAGGACCCAAGGAAAACCCCGTGTTTCCTTCCCAGAACCTCAGACCCTTCTAGCCGGGAACAATGATGACAATGGCGCCTGTCCTGTTGTCTCTGCTGTTCCTTCTGGGTCCTGCATTCCTCCAGGAAGCACAAACTGGTGAGTGGGGAGCAAGGATAGGGACTGGAGAGGCCTGGAAGGAAGGTGAAGTACAGGACAGATGGGCTGGGAGGAGCACCTGATGCAGCTGGGATTCCCGAGTGTACGACAGTGATGGGAGTCCAGGGTATCACCCAACTCAGCTCACATACAGCCAAGAGTATTCAGTATTTGAATCTGTATTCAAAGAGTATTCAAAGAGTATTCAGTATTTGAACCAAGAATCTGCCACATTAAATCCAAAATTTGTAACACCCAGGGAGTTAGATCACAAATTAATTATGGAACCAATTATAGAAATATTTCCTTCTCCCAGCCCTTGTCTTATTCCAAAATGAAAGGTACAGCCCTAGGAATTCTTTTTTGTTTATCGTTGTTTTTGAAACAGAGTCTCACTCTGTATTCCAGGCTAGAGTGCCTTGGTGTCAGTCTAGCTCACAGCAACCTCAGACTCCTGGGCTCAAGCAATCCTTCTGCCTCAGCCTCCCAAGTAGATGGGACTACAGGCATGGGCCACCATGACCAGCTAATTTTTTCTACATTTTTAGTTGGCCAATTATTTTCTTTCTGTTTTTAGTAGAGACAGGGGTCTCACTCTTGCTCGGGCTACTTTCGAACTCCTGACTTCAGCAATCCACCCGCCTCGGCCTCCCAGACTGCTAGGATTAAAGGCCTGAGCCACCAATCCCGGCTCCTGTTTTTTTTCTTTTTTTTTTAGCTGCATTTATAGAAAACCTGGCAATTCTAAGATCAATCTTAGTATTACTCCAGGCTGATCCATTCTGGGTCATCTCTTCAGTTTTCTAGTAAATTCTCCTCCTATGCCTTCTAACTATATGTATTGGACAGATTTGCATAATACTGTTTATTTCTCTCACAGGGCAACTTCAATGCAGATCAAGCACTTTCCTCTCCTCCACAGGGTGACTGAGGGATGCAGGCTTTGCATCTTATGACTGTTCTTTTTGATCCTGTGGCCTCCAGGGCCACCATTAAAGGGAAGTGAGATAGAGGGGCCAAGTCGGCTCCTAGAGCCTTGGACCAGGACAAAGACATCCCTTCCACTCACGTTCCCTTCAGCCAAATCTCAGTCACGGGACCCTAATATGTATACACACAGGGAAAGAAATATCATCCTCTTATGTGCCACGCAGAGGAAACAACATAGTGAAGACACAGGATGGTCCCTCAAATGCCATCCCAGAATGAAACAGCCTGTTCTCTTGAGTGAGGCTCCAGTGGTGGGAGGCTGACTGAAAGCAGGGAGCTTGGGAAAGGGAGGCCTAGTGGCCAGGTTTTCCCACCTGGCCCTCTGCAGCACCAGAGTGGAACTTCCCTGTGAGCACCTCACCCCTCAGAGTCTTCTCCTATTTTGCAGATCATTACTCTCTGACCTATCTCTACACTGGGCTCTCCAATCCCAGTGAAGGCTACCCCAAGTTTTGGGCCGTCGGCTTCCTCAATGACCAGGAATTCTTCCACTACGACAGTGAAAGCAGGAAGGCTGAGCCTGTGGGACCATGGAGGCACGTGGAAGGAATGGAGGATTGGGATGAGGAGAGCAAACTTCAGCAGGCCACGGAAGACATCTTCCTGGACACGCTGCAAGACATCATGGACTATTACGATGACAGCAATGGTCAGTGCACAACAGACGGCTGGGTGGAGGGTCTTAGCTCAGAGGCAGTGGCAAGGGGTCAGAGGGATGGAAATGGTCCCTGTCCAAATGAGGAACAGGAGGCACAAGGAGAGATGCATGAACACATGCCCATCCCCACTGCACCAGCACCTGCTTCCTCCCACCCTGGTGCTCCCCATCCTCACCCCAGGCCTCAGTGCACACCAGGAGAGATGCCAGAGTCACGCCTTCCCCAGGCACCTCTGACCTCTCTCCTCCACACCCAACCTGTCTCAGGCTGACCACAGTAGAGAAGGTCTCAGACTCACTCCTGTCCAGGGGTTTTGGATCCACAGTGAGGCAATCAAGGCATTAGTCACACCTGGGTTCACAGGGTCAAACCTACACTAGCTGTTGACAGTACCCAGCTTCCTTAATTACCTGGTCTAAATCTGCAAAAACTGAAACACTGGGACCTACCTCCAAGAGATTCTGTACAAATTGTCTGTTCAATGGAGAACAAAACAATCTGTCTGAATGTCCCTTGTATCCTACATCCTAGGACAAGGTGCATCCAACGTTTGCTCAATTGAAATATTTTCAATGAATAGAGAAAGGAAACCTACCACACACCATAACCCACACTGGGAGCTCAGTAAGGGCTGGATTTTCAACCACAGACTGCTAGAGTTACAAGAGCCATAAAGATGTTCCTGTCCACGTGGACAGATACAGGAAGGGTTATGCACGTGTGGTGTGCGGAGCTGGGGCAGAGTCAGCACAGAGACCTGTCCCAATGTCCTGGTACTCTTTCTCCCAAACACACTCTCTGCTGCCCTAGGCAGGCAGTCTCATGCCTGGCGGACTTTGGATGTTAAATTATTATAGAGTGGGTGTTAAAATGTGGGCTTCTGAGTACAAAATACCAAGGAGCTAAATGGAATGGAATGGTTTGCAAACAGACAGGAAAGTTCTGCAGAAATCGGTAGGATGTGGAATGTGAAGTCTTGGTAATGAAAGTGGCCTGGGCCATGTGTCCAAAATAGGAGAGGGGAGGCACAGGTGCCCAGGAAGGACGCTGGGGGGTTGTTCATTGACTGCAATACAAATGTCAAAGGGAATAGTTATTAAGAAAGAGGATGAAGAAATAAAGATGGGACATTAGAAATCAATAGGAGCTAACATTTATATATATAAATAACTTGATATGTGCCAGGCTCAGACTCACATGATAAATGCTCACAATCACCCCCATGTTAGTACTTTCCCACTGCGTTTTCACAAGGGGTAAAAGAGAGGCTACTGGTTCAAGGTCATCACACAAGCCAGGTGGGCACGGGGAAAGATCTGGGATTTGAGCCCACATGGTTTGACAGCTCTCAGCCTGTGGCAACAGCACTGACCAGTGTTAGATAAACACCTGCTCTTACAATGACAGTGAAGAAGTTGTGTCACTCTGCCCGAAGGAGGTCAGTGTCTGAGAGTTGTTGCTAACAGGCAAAAGGGTTGGGGCTTTAGAGGTTTGAAATAAAGATACCAACCACTGGAAAGGAGGGAAAAGTGATCAAATTAGTTTCATCAAGTGATGTTATGAATGCCACCTAGGGAAAAGGAGAGATGCCCATAATCTCTAAGAAACCATTAGTAATTTCTATTGAATTTTGAAATGCACTTTCGGGTGGTTGTGACAGGATCCTCGGTACTCACATAAATCTAACAAAGACCTTAACTAGAAGGTAAGCTGGAGAAGGGCTAGCAATCTGCCCATATTCTGTATCTCTCCCAAGTTCCCTGCTTGGGAAAAACACGTCTCATCTCGGAGTGCCTGAAATGGCAAACCAAGGTTTCCCCCTTTGCCAGCTATATGTCCAGGTAGTAAACTATTTGCCAGGATAAAGGGACTGCATGCTTAGATTTCAGAAACTGTTCCTCTTATTGAGTTGAAAGTGCATAGGAGGAAGAGTCATTCAGTGTGCTTGGCACCAGGCTGACTGGCTTCCTCTGGGTTTGGGGGAGGCTTCAGGGTCTCACACCTTTCAGGGAAAGTTCGGTTGTGAGCTGCAGAATAATGGAAGCAGTGGAGCATTCTGGAAGTATGCCTATGATGGAAAGGACTTCATTGAATTCAACAAAGAAACCCCAGCCTGGGTCCCCTTGGACCCGGCAGCCTGGAACACCAAGAAGAAGTGGGAACCTTATGTGGAGAATGTCAAGGAGTACCTGGAGGAGGAGTGTCCTGATATCATGCAGAGGTACCGGAACTACAGCAGGCATATCCTGGACCGGCAAGGTACTTACCGCTTCGTGCTCCCAAGCACTGATCTGAAGCAGACCAGGGTGGCTTCAGGCTAGGAGCTAAGGGAACATCTCAGGCTGGTTACCTCTATCCCCGGATGTCTCTCACAACCCCTAGGGGGTGAAAGGAATATCTTTCCCTCCAAGGACATGACATGGGAGCCAAAAAAATTCTTCATCGAAATTTCAGAAAGGGTGGGTGAGAAAAAGACATCAGTTCAATGGCAGCTACCCTAAATTTCCCCCAATTGACAGATGAGGCTAATCATGGGAAGCTGAGGTTACATTAACACTGTCCCTAAGAGGCAGAGCTGGGGGACAAAGTCCATATTTCAGATTCCAAATCCCAGTGGTGCTGCTCTCTACAAAGATGCCACCTGTCTTGGGGTGGAGAGAAGGCAGGTGTGTCAAATGTCTGCCCTGAAAGGACCAGAACGAGCCATTGTGACCACAATTTGTGGCCACAGGCTGATACATTGATCTGAGAGGTAGTGAGAAGCAGGACTGTTCAATGGAGCAGGGAGGAGTTGTGGGACCCAGGCCGCTCCAAGGAGCTGGGCTCAGACTTAGGGAGGGGGATCTGGGAGCCACTGGGATAGGGGAGAACACAGAGAGGAGCGTGGGCATGCAGGTGGGCGCCTTCGCAAGTCAGTGCACACTGGGACTGGGGGCAGGGAGGAAAGGAGCCAGGGACATTCCATGATCTAGCAGAGAAGGCCCCAATGAAGCCTCAGCCCTCCCCTACCTCTGTGAACCTTCTCGGGGGTGGGGGTTGGGGGTATGTGCAAACTTAGAGCTCTGCTGATCCCTGACATCTAGGGAGGGACAGTGGGAACAGACATGGGCCAGAGGAAGTCGCCCTAGTCCCTCAGTGTCCACCCTCTATCCCCCCGCAGATCCTCCCTCTGTGGCAGGCACCAGCCACAGCAATATCCGAGATGACGTTATCATCCTATGCCAGAGTATTCACATCTACCCAGAAGGAAGTGGTCTGAAATGGACTCTGGACTGTTAAATGCAGGAGTCTGAGCGAGCAGTGAGTCCAAACTGTAGAACCTAATAAACAATAAACTTCCCCAGCACAACACACACGGGTGTTTTTTGTTTGTGAATACAATCAAAGTGAGAGCAAGCTTCACCATTCACCTACTCCTTAGTATTCAACTCTTCCCAAATTATTGATCGTTACTCAAAGCCATGTGTCCTGGGTATCTTGAGCTGGGACATCCCTAGTGTGACTTAGACCACCTGTCCCTTGGGTATTGTCCTGGCTTCCACTGCTGACATCCACAGATGTGGCCATGGCCCCTCTCCCAGTGATGACCCAGAATTATGCAAACTCTGCATCCTCTGCAAAACAAATCAAGACTCTTCTGTGCCTCAGTTTCCACAGAATTCCCTGTAAGATATCCCCCTCCATTCCAGCTGCTCCACAGCATGTTGGCCTTGACCCACACACAGCAGAATTTAGTTGAGAACCCTCAGCCCCACAAGGAACAACTCAAGAAAGCAGAAACTGGCCCTGAGATTCTTAGACTCCCACCAATTCCCTGTGATTCTGTTTGTTCAGCTAAGTCACCAACTGCCACACACAGGTTTCAACCACAAAAATAGAGCAGAGCTCTCACACCTGATCTTTGCACTAAACATCACCTGCCTAGAACTCTGTTTTTCTTTCTGGAGGAATAAGAACTTCCTGCCCCTCCCACCCCAGATTACTCCAAAATCAGTCCTCCTAGCTGAGATCCTGAAAGAAACCATTCCTAGCTATCAGACTGGGACTCTGACTCAATCATCTTATCTTTCCTGAAAGCCTAAGTTTGAAGGCTATAACTTTTTTTTTTTTACCGCTTCTGCTCCAAGCTGAAAATCAAAGCTACGAAATTACTCCTTTAGTCTACATAAAATCCACATTCCCCTCTTGTGGCATTAAAAGTCCTATCTGGACAGTAGAGGGGCCCCAGGGAAAAAAAGACAAAAATTGTCAAGAGGAAAAAAATATCACACTTGATATTTTAACATATGATGACACCTTCTACAAATAAAAGAGAAAGGATAAACATTTCAGATCAATGAGAAAATCAAAGTCCACGTGAACCCTCCAGGGCTGAGGAAGGCTGGAGTGTGAGATCTGGTCTCACCTACAACAGGAGAGATGGGTGGAGGAGGATGAGGAGAAGGAATCTTGGAAGACCCAAGGATGATCAGGTATGGGGAGGAAGACAGGGGCCCAGCGCCACTCAGACATCAGAGAAAACTTCCTGGAGGGACTCAGACTTCAGAGGAGACAGGAAGGCCTAAGACAGCTGGCCACGAAGAAGAGGTCAGAAGAAGTTTCCTCACCAGGTGGGTGTGAGGCAGCTGAGAGGGGAGAGTCACAGGGGCCTGACAAGGGAGGTGACCTAGGAGTAGGGCTGGGACACAGGCATCCACTGAGCATCACCAAGGACAATTAAGGGGCCCAGAGAAGCCCATGTTGTTTCTTCCAGGGTCACCTCCTGCTCACAAACACATTGTCCCGGAGGTAGGGCCAACGCCAAGTGCCATTTGAAGACGCCCCAACCTGGAAAGTCTCTTTCTCACAAATCATCTCCCTCTTTAATAATTCCTCAGTCCCTTTAGAATACCATGTCACTCTGTACTTGGGCGAACCCTCTGCAAATAGCCCACCATTCTCCATACCTGCATGGAAAGACCTGGCTTCCAGAAAACTGGCTGCATCTGTATGCTATCAGTTTTATGTTATGCATTAAAAATTATCTTGAGGGGGCACAAGATGGCGGCAGCGGCGCTGGGGAGGGCGAGGCGGAGGCGGCAAAACGGGCGGTCGAGCAGAACGTGCAGTCCCGTCCCCTCGACTCCGCTCCAAGCAGCTGCTGATGCAAGGAATCTCCTGGGCCCCCGTCCACTCCACTGCTGACCAGCCCACCCACCCGTGCTGAGCCTTCCTGCAGGTGTCCCCTCTGCCTCTGTGGGACCCTGTGACATGGGGGTCCATCCAGCTGGAGAAGAAAACTCTCTCATGCTAGTGTTGCAGACCCCAGAGGGTGAGAGAAAGGGGGATCTCATTCAACCTTGAAACCTATGGGCCTGGCCCCCAAGGCACCAGGAATTCCTCCTCCCCCCCAGAGAACCAAGGAGAACCAAGGCAGCTCTGGCTTTTTCTTCCCTTGGTTAGTGGTTCTAAACCTTTTTGTTATCAAAGCCCTATTTTGTTGTATATTTGTCCTGTTGCCCCCTGCATTTTTCTCTGCCAAACTGTACTGATGGAGTAACCATTTTTCCCTTTCCAAATTAACAAAGACATCTATGACTGTACAATAAAATCAATGTCCCAATGATTCCTATGATGTTGTTAACAACCAATCAGAGCTTCTGATCAGTATGAGATAAACATTGTGACCACAATGAGTTGATAAAATTTCAGCATGCAAACATAATTGATGTTTAAAAAAAAAAAATTATCTTGAGAATAACTGGCAAAGGAGCGCTAGGCACATAAAGGTTGAGAACCGTTGACCTAGAGGAATGGGGCAGCCAGAGACCAGTCGTGAGGGAAAGAACACAATTGCGGACTTTCCCCGTTCATCACATGACAATGGACATGGCAACAGACCAGAGCTCTCCACAATCTGATGCCAACCTCCCTTCTGCAGTCATCACCCTCACAACCCCACCCCTCAATCATCTTGATCAACTCTGTTTCCACCCAGTTGCCCTCAACAACCCTCACATGTGTCCAGTCTCTCTCTATTTGTCCTTGCTCATCCATTTTCGTTAGTGCTTATCAACTGTCTTCTTTGTGCCAAGCATGGGGGACAGAGAAAAGAACAGGACAGACACCCTCCACATCCCTGTGAGATTGGGCCCCATCTGCCAACAGCAATTCTGCTCACCCCTCTCCCATGATGCCTTTCCTGATGGCTTCCCAAACTGGAGATCTTTCTCCATGAAGCTCTTGTTCGTTAACAGCGACCATCAGTACCAATCCTACAAGATGGACAAGAATGTCTGAATCACAGTGTGTTATTAGATGGATTAGGTTTTGGCAGGTTTTTCATGTTCATATTCTCTTTATTGATTTATTTTTTTATTCCAAAGTAATACAGGGTCACAAATGTTTTGGTTGCAAGCATCACCTTTGTAATGCTGGAGTCAGGGTTATCAGTGTACCCATCACCCAGATAATGTTCACTGTACCCCTTAGGTAGGTTTTTGCCAATCACCTACTCCCCACTCCCCTCTGCATAACTCTAATTTTATATTACTGAGGTTTTTGGTTTGTTTGTATTGCTTTAACATGTACATAATTTTTTTTTTTTTGGAGACAAGGGTGTCACTAGTGATCCCAGGCTGGGCTTGAACTCAAGATTCTCCCACTTCAGCCTCCTCAGTAGGTGGTACCACAGGTGCACCCTTGTAGGGTACCTGACATACCCCCAGCTACTTAGGTCTTCATAATAGGGCTTTATTGGTGACTTTTATCTCTTTCCTTCCAGCAACTATTAAATAAAAGATTCTTTCTGCACTACTACAGAAATTGCTCAATATTCAGACTCCACTGTGAGTCACTGATTTGTGCATTTGAGTTTATTCTCCTTTTCTTTACATTTTCTACCACTTCTGGACTCAAACTTCCCAGTTCTTGGACATTGGTTTCCTCATGTGCTTCACTCTGTCCTATAGTATCAGCCACTGGGGACCTACCCTGTTGCCTTCTGAGAACATTTTACCCTAGTCCACCACACGACAGTACTCAGCCAGCTGTGTCACCCGTCACTGCACACCAGGTCTGCCAGAAATCCCCCAGGACCTCTGCACAGTCAGTACATTCAGCCCAATCCAGCCCTGTAACCAGTGTCCGGTTGTCGTCCCTGCATTTCCCTGAGCAACTACTGCCTAAAAACAGCCCTTGTGCCAATTTCTTATCAGTCAGGATCATTCATCATCCCAAATATAATTGAAACCTGACTTTAAGCAGACAATTGATTTTTCTTTTGAGTAGTTCTCAGAGTCCATACACAGGACAAAGAGCCCAGACTCAGAATTAGGCAGAAGCACAAAGTCACACTCCACAACTAGTCCTGGAGACACACTGCAGCTGCCAGCAGGGGGCACCAGATGTCATGGCAAGGACCAATGTGCCATCACCATGGACTGGACACTGGACGCTCTATGGCTACTGCTGACCCACTGCCCCCAGGAGCTGACAGTCTGGCCACTGCCAAGACCAACAGAAGGGATTGTCCACTGTGCCTGCTTCTCTGTTTCTCTGACCCTGACTCAATGTCCAGGGCAAAAGCTCCTGCCTGCTGAACCCTCGCCATGTGTACACCTGGTCCTTCTATAGCAAGGGAGGCTGCAAAAAGGGAAGTCTGCCTGTTTCCTCTTCCATGATAGAAAATTGGGATACCCCAAGCATAGAAATACAAGCAGGGAGAGATGTGAATGTCTTCCACACACAGAGTTGGGGCAGGGTAGGGTGGGAGACCGTGATGGTCACACCTCTGCTGGGATGTCTTCATGTCCAGGTTTTCGACATGTTGAAAGCTTTTCCAGAGAAGAAGGATGAAGTCTAGTCTGACAACACCCTAATTCCCCTACTCCCCCCATGGGGATGTCATCAAAGACTTGGAGGGTGACACACATCCCAGCCATCTGTCTCCTGCCACACAGCTCCAGCCCACTTACATCCTTCCACCTGAGACATACACCATGCCCCAATCCCACGACCAGCTGTCTCAGCTCTCAACCTGCAGACTCTGTCTGTGAACCCAGTGACTGCAACCTATGCCCAGCCTGCTTCTGTGTCCTGTTTCCCCACTGTCAGGGGAGGAGCCCATCCTGGCCCTCCCATTGGCCTGTAGATTCTCTTCTCCTGGGCAGGGCCCCATGACCCAGAGAAAAACCTGTTTCTTGCCCTAAACCTCAGAACTTTCCAGCCAGGAACAAGGGTAACAATGGTGCCTATCCTGCTGTCTCTGCCGCTCCTTCTTGGTCCTGCAGTCCCCCATGAGGCCCAAGCTGGTGAGTGGGGAGCAAGGGTGGGGACTGGAGAGGCCTGGAAGGGAGATGAAGAAGAAGACAGGTGGGCTTGGAGGAGGTCTTGATGCACCTGGGATTCCTGAGTGTACTACAGTGATGGGTGTCCAGGGATATCACCTAACTCAACTAACACACAGGTAGGAATATTTGGGAAACCTCTGTTATCACACGAAGTAAAAAGTTAAAGAATCTGAATCTAAAATCCTTAGTTCAGGCCGGGCGCTGTGGCTCACGCCTGTAATCCTAGCTCTTGGGAGGCCGAGGCAGGCGGATTGCTCAAGGTCAGGAGTTCAAAACCAGCCTGAGCAAGAGCGAGACCCCGTCTCTACTACAAATAGAAAGAAATTAATTGGCCAACTGATATATATAAAAAATTAGCCGGGCATGGTGGCGCATGCCTGTAGTCCCAGCTACCTGGGAGGCTGAGGCAGAAGGATCACTCGAGCCCAGGAGTTTGAGGTTGCTGTGAGCTAGGCTGACGCCACGGCACTCACTCTAGCCTGGGCAACAAAGCGAGACTCTGTCTCAAAAAATAAAAAAAAATAAAATAAAATAAAATAAAACCCTTAGTTCATAGATGAAAAAAATAAAAAACTAAGTAACAGAGGGAAAATGACCTGCCTGGGGTCTGACAGCCAGGAAGAAGAAGGAACTGTATATGTAAAGCTTCTTCTGCTCTTGTTCCTGCCCTCCTTCCAATGGCTGGATACACCTATCCAACTCTGAGGGCAAGAGAGGGCACCCCAGGGGAAAAAGGGGAAGGCAGGGTAACTGGAGGGATTGGAGGGGTGGCTCTAGAAGGTAACCCTCGCCCTCACCCCACAGACAGACGCTGCTGCAGTGGGTCTGCAAGGGAGGGGCTGGGAAAGAAGACAGCAGGAACACTTGGAGATCCAGAGTCAACTCCAGGGCAGGGGAATGAGGCTGTTTATGACATGGAAATGTTCAGGATAGACACATGTAAGCTCATGATTTCTCAACTGGGCAAGCTTAAAATTCCTTCCATTAACAAATTGTGAGAACACTTATTTCATGTTAGTTTTATAGCAATCACAGTTAGAAAAATAATCACATTCTGCCTCAAAATCTGAATGAGTCACATTCTCCAGAGAAATGGTTCTAATCTGAACAACATGTATATATGTTTTCTATGTATGTGCATATATATAGAAAGAGATATTTGTATGTATGTCTATAAAAGAGAGATTTATTTCAAGGTATTGGCTCACACAATTGTGAGACCTAGCAAGTCCTAAACCCACAGGTCAGGCCAGCGGGCTGCAGACCCAGGGAACAGTTGATGGTTCAGTCTTGAGCCCAAACACAATCTGGAAGCAGAATTCTTTCTTCTATGGGGGAGTGTCAGCCTTTTCTCTTGAGGCCTTCAACTCATTGCATGACAGCCACCAGGTTATGGAGAGTGACCTGCTTTACTCAAGTTCTACTGATTTAAATGTTAACCACATTTAGAAACGAAGGAGCAAGAATAATTTCACCACTTAAACTAGGAATCTGCCATATAACCTCCAATATCAGTAACATCCATGTGAGTGATATCATCAATGAATTAGGGAACTAACAATGGAAAGAGTCCTGGTCATTTCTTGAGTTTTCTAGAGAATTCTCCTCTCTACACTTTCTAACTGTAAGTATTTCTCAGGTTTGAGTAGAAATGTTTATTTCTTGCTCATGCCAAGTTCTGTGCAGATTAGGCCACCTTCCTCTCTTCCACGGAATCATTCGGGAATCTAGGTTGTTTGCATCATCAGAGTGTTCAGATTCCTCCTGTGACCTCCACATTCAACACCTAAAGGAAAGAGAGACAGAGGGGCTGAGCCAGCTCCTAGGGCCTTGGACCAGAAGAAAAACATCCTTTCCACCCATATTTCCTTCAGCCAAAACTCAGTCACATGGTTCCAAAATAACTATAAGGAGGCTGAGAAATATCTTCTTATTCTGTGCCAAGCAGAGAAAACATCATAGTGAGGGTACAGGATGGTCCCTGAAATGCCATCTCCAGGATGAAACAGCCTGTTCTCTTGAGTGAGGCTCCAATGATGTGAGGTTGACTGAGGGCAGAGAGCTGGGGAAAGGGAAGCCCAGGGGCCAGATCTTCCCACCTGGCCCTCTGAAGCCCCAGAGTGGGACTCCCCGGCGAGGACCCTTCAGAGTCTTCTCCTATTTTGCAGGTCGTTACTCTCTGACCTATCTCTACACTGGGCTGTCCAGGCCCGGGGAAGGCTACCCTTGGTTGCAGGGCACTGTCTTCCTCAATGACCAGGCCTTCTTCCACTACGACAGTGAAAGTGGGAAGGCTGAGCCCCTGGGACCATGGAGACACATACAAGGCATGAATGACTGGGAGAAGGAGAGCCAGCTTCAGAAGTTCAGGGAGAGCATCTACCTGGAGACCCTGCAAGACATCATGGCCTATTACAACGACAGCAACGGTCAGTATACAACTGATGGCTGGGTGGAGGGTCTTAGCTGAAGAGGCAGCCCCCCAGGTTAAAGTGATAAGGGGTCAGAGGGATGATCATCGTCCCTGTCCAAACAAGGAACAGGAGGCACAAGGAGAGATACATGAACACATGTCCATCCCCCACCGCACAGCACCTGCTTCCTCCCACCCTGGTGCTCCCCATCCTCACCCCAGGCCTCAGCGCACACCAGGAGAGATGCCAGAGTCATGCCTTCTCCTAGCACCTCTGACCTCTCTCCTCCACACCCAACCTGTCTCAGGCTGACTCCACTGGAGAAGGTCTCAGACTCACCCCTGTCCAGGGGTGTTGGGTCCACAGTGAGGCAATCTTGGCATCAGTCACACCTGAGTTCACAGGATCAAACCTCCAGTCACTACCTGTTGACAGGTTCAACAGCTGGTGTTAAGGAACACTTAACCTGTACACACGTTCCTTAATTACCTGGTCTAAATCTGCAAAAACTGAGGCAGTGGGACTAATCTCCCAGAGATGCTATAAAATTTGTCTGTTCCACGGAGGACAAAACCATCTGTCTCAATCTCTCTTGTATCCCATCACCTAGGACAGGGTGCAGCCAACATTTGCTCAATTGAAATATTTTGAATGAATAGAGAAAGAAAATCTACCACACACCATAGCCCATACCAGAAGCTCAGTAAGTGCTAGATTTAAAACAACAAACTGTTAGAGTTACATGGAGACATAAAGATGTTCCTGTCCATATGGAACAGATACAGAAAGGGTCATGCATGTGTGGTGTGGGGAGCTGGGGCACAGCCAGCACAGAGACCTGTCCCTGTGTCCCAGCCTGGTACTCTTTCTCCTAAACCACACTCCCGACCTCCCTAGGAAGCCAGTTTCAGGCCTGGTGGACTTTGGATGTTAAATTATTAAAGGGTGGGTATTGAAATGTGGGCTTCTGAGTACAAAAATGCCAAGAAACTACATGGAATATAAAGGTTTGCAAAAGGACACGAAAGGTCTGCAGAAATCGGGAGGATGTGGAATGGGAAGTCTTGGTAAGGAAAGAGGCCTGGATTGTGTGTCAGAAATAGGAGAGGGAGGCACAGGTGCCCAGGAAGGACACGGGGGGAGTCATTCATTAACTGGAATACAAATGTCAAACTGAATAGTTATGAGGAAAGCGGATGAAGAAATAAACATGGGGCATTAGAAATCAATAGGAGCTAACATTTATATATATAAATAACTTGCTATGTGCCAGGCTCAGATACTCACATGATAAATGCTCACAATCACCCCCACGTTAGTACTTTGCCACTGCCTTTTCACAGAGGAGCAAAGAGAGGCACAGAGAGGCTACTGGCTCAAGGTCATGAAACAAGCCAGGTGGGCATGGGGAGAGATCTGGGATTTGAGCCCAGGCGGCTTGACAGCTCTCAGCCTGTGCCAACAGCGCTGACCAGTATTAGATAAACACCTGCTCTTACAATCACAGTGAAGAACTGATGTCACTCTGCCCGAAGGAGGTCAGTGTCTGAGAGTTGTTGCTAACAGGCAAAGGAGTTGGGGCTTTATAGAGGTTTGGAATAAAGATACCAACCACTGGAAAGGAGGGGAAAAGTGCTCCCATTTGGTATACTCAAGTGATAACATGAACACCTAGAACTCACAGTGAAGAAGAGAGTCCCATAGTCTATAAGAAACAATTAGAAACCTATTAAATTTAGCAATGCACTTTGGGATGGTGGTGACAGCTTCCTCTGCACTCGCCATAAATTCAAATGAAGAGCTTCATTAGATGAGATGCTCAAAGGGACAGAAATCTGGTCCTATTCTATAAGTCTCTGAAGTTTTCTGGCTGGAAAGAGTGTATTTCACTTCACACTGGCCTGAAACACCAAATTGGAATTTGTGCCTCTCTGCCTGCTATATGTCCAGATAGTAAGTTATTTGTCAGGATAAAGGGACTGCATGCTTAGATTTCACGTCCCTTTCTTCCTATTGGGTTGAAAGTGTGCAGGAGGAAGAGTCATTCAGGTGTGCTTGGCACCAGGCTGACTGGCTTCCTCTGGGTTTGGGGGAGGCTTCAGGGTCTCACATCTTACAGGAACGGTTGGGTTGTGAGCTCCAGAATAACGGAAGCAGTGGAGCATTCTGGAAGTCTGCCTATGATGGAAAGGACTTCATTGAATTCAACAAAGAAATCTCAACCTGGGTCCCCTTGGACCCGGCAGCCTGGAACACCAAGAAGAAGTGGGAACCCTATGTGCAGAATGCCAAGGCGTACCTGGAGAAGGAGTGCCCTGGGATCCTGCAAAGGTACCTGAACTACAGCAGGCATATCCTGGACCGGCAAGGTACTCACTGCTTCCTGCTCCCCAGCACTGAGCTGAGATAGACCAAGGTGGCCTCAGGCTAGGAGCTCAGGGAACAACTAATGCCAGTCCCCTCCATCCCTGGATTCCCTCACAGTCCCAGGTTTCACCTGCTGGCATTCCTTCCTTCCCTGGGAGGACATGATATAGGGTCTAAAAAAAATCTTCATCAAAATTTCAGAAAGGATGGGTGAGAAAAAGACATCGTTCAATGACAGCTTCCCTAAATAATCCACAATTGATGGATGAGGAATTTCAAGGTAACTGAGGGAAACTGAGGTTAGGTTAACACTGTCTAAAGAGGCAGAGCTGGGGCACAAAGTCCATATTTCAGATTCCAAATCCCATAGGTGCTTCTCTCCACAAAGATGTTGCCTGTCTTGGGGGTGGAGAGAAGGCAGGTGTGTCAAATGTCTGCCCTGGAAGGAGCAGAACAAGCCAGTGTGACCACAATTTGTGGCCACAAGCTGACGTTGATCTGAGCTGCAGGCAGCTCTAAGGAACTGGCTCAGACTGAGGGAGTGGGGAGCTGGGAGCCACTGGGATAGGGGAGAACACAGGGAGGAGTGTGGGCATGCAGGTGGGCACCTTCGCAAGTCAGTGCACACAGGGACTGGGGGCAGGGAGGAAAGAAGCCAGGGACATTCCATGATCCAGCAGGGAAGGCCTGAGGGAAGCCTCAGCCCTCCCCCACCTCTGTGAAGCTTTCCTGGGGGTGGGGGGTGGGGGCAGGTGCAGACTTAGAGCTCTGCTGATCCCTGACATCCAGGGAGGGACAGTGGGAACAGACATGGGCCAGGAGATGTCATCCTTGTCCCTCAGTGTCCACCATCTATCCCCCCACAGATCCTCCCTCTGTGGCAGTCACCAGCCGCACCACCCCAGGAGAGAAGAGCATCCTCAGATGCCAGGTCTATGGCTTCTACCCACAAGGAATTGGTCTGCACTGGACTCGGGACAGTGAGGTGCAAGAGTCTAAGTCAGGGGGTGATGTCCTTCCCAGCGGAGGGGGCACTTACCTGTCTTCCGTGCTATTAGAAGTGCCCCCTCAGGACAGACACCATTATTCCTGCCACGTGGAGCACAGTGCCCTGGCCCAGCCCCTCTCGGTGCCCTGGGACAGCAGGCAGGACACAGGGGCTGGGGACACTGGGGGGACTCAATCCCAGTAGCTGCCCTTTCTGCCTGCCATGACAGCTGAACTTCACAAGTCACCCTCAGTGGCATTGGCAAGGCCGGGAGCAGTGCAGGGGACAGGCAGTTGGGGGACTTGCAGAGAGGAGTTGGAACACAGGGCACTGAGCTGACTCTCACAGCCATGTCGCCTCATCTTGCTAATCACAGTCCCCAAGTCCAATCTGTAGAACATAATAAACAATAAACTTGCCCGGCACAGTACACACGGGTGTTTTTCATTTGGGAATACTTTCAAAGTGAGCCAGCTACACCATTCCTCCTACTACTCAGCATTCAACTCTTCCCAAATTCTTAGTGTTTACTGAAAGGCATGTCTCTTGGGTACCTTGACCTGGGCCATCCCAAGTGTGGCTTAGACCACCTGGTCCCTGGTATTGTCCAGGCTTCCACTGCTGACATCCACAGGTGTAGCCATGGCCCCTTTGCCTTTGATGACACAGAACTCTGTAACCACTGTAAAACAAAATCAAGACTCTTCTGTGCCTCAGTTTCCCAAGCACTCCCTCACTCCCTCTAAAACATCATCCTACATCCAGCTGCCCAACATTGTCTGGGTGGCTTTTTTGCCCATTCCTTTTGTCTGCAACAACCCTTCTGGTTGTTCTTGTACATTCCAGCCCCCTATCTGATATTGCAGAGAATTGCCCACCCTGCTATGGGTTACCTCTGGCCCAAATTGAGTTTGCTGCTGGGAGAGACCATTCCAAACCTTGAGTTATAATGTACTGGGGGTGGTATTGAAGAGTTACTTCAAGTGGGACCCTCCTCAGCCCCTCCCATGGTGGCAAGATGGTGGCAGCAGCAGGTGTTCCTTTCCCCTTGCTGCAAGCCACTTGGTGGGGTCACCTGCACCGGCCTTCCCTCCTGCCAGCTCCAACCCCACTTTGTGGCCCCACCCAGCACCTCACCCTGGCTGGCTGTAGGGATTCCAGTAGGGGCAAGAGAACTTTATTTATCAAAAATCATACAAACACAATTCATTTTGTATACCATGAACAATGAGTTTATCTCAAGCAGAGAGCTTGAGACTCAACATTTTAACTCTATAGTGGCAGGTCATCCATTTGAGCTCTGAATTTTGAAAAAGCCAATAGCTCACAATAAACCATGGACCATCAACCACCACTTTTCCTCACACTCCAGACAAGTGGGTATCACAATAATCTTTAGATATAGATAAAAAAAAAAAAAAACTCGCCAGACAAAAATTCACACACAAATGCACACAACACAGGGATTACCCAACACAAAATGCCACAGCCAACCAAATAGGAACCACAAAATGAGAACTGAATTCTCAACTGAGAATTAGCATCTCCTAATACAAAAGGGGACAAACCAAGAACCAAATACTCTCAGATGAAAAAACCAATGTCACTCAATCTCCTTCCCAGCCCCATTCCCTGGGAACTGCAAATGAGCTCAATCCAAACCTGGTTTCCCAGTTCCACTCAACCTCTTGAATCCCATCTCAAAGTGGCCCCTCAAAACAAACTCAACAGGGAGGTTTCAAAAAACCCCAACTCATGGGTGGAAACACAGTCTCAGCATCCCAGGGAACTTTACTTAAAAATAAATGGCTGTGGCTGTCAAATCTGTTTCCTTCTTCTCAACTAAGGTCAGATTCTGGGGAGCTGCATCTACTTGGGGGAGACAGAGACAGGAACTCCCTAGAGCTAAAACAGGCACCCACAGCTGCTGGGGCAGTCTCTCACCTCAAAAAGAAGCACTCCTACCCGTGAACACCCACAGCTTTGACCCAAAGCTGCTCCCTGCCTGTTCCAGCAGTTGTGTTGTGCCATTCCAACAGCGTGCTGACAGGCCCACCAAAGGACACCAAATTCTGTTACCAAAACTTCGGCACTTATCCCCGAGGCCACATCAGAAGAATGAGGACAAGAAGTTGGAGGAGAAGGAAAGAAATTTTATCAGTTTCCAGCAAATGAGATTAGAAGACTCTGGTCTCAAAGGACCAATATACTCTGTTTCTTTTTTCTTTTTCTTTTTTTTTTTAAGATGAGAAAAGAAAACCAAGGAAGGGTAGAAGAATTCGTGCCAGGTGACAGAACATGCTGCTCAGTGATAGAAAAACCACTTTCCCATTTTCCCCTTCCCAACATTTTGGTGACTGAACTACACCTGTTAGCTGATTCTCTCAGGAACTCCAACTATAAGGAGTTTAGGAGCTAATGTGGACACAGCTGCAGAGTGACCAGAAAGTTGGTCTCAGAGCAGCTGGAAGGAATCCCAGAATCTTCCCTCAGTCTTCCTGCTCAAATACCTGACTTCTAAAACACAAATACTAGAACCCCACTTGCCTTTATCAACAAAGAACATGAGGCAATCCTCCTGCAAATGTCCTAGAAATGATAAATGATTATTTCAAACCAAGATTTAAAACCATAAATGGGCACTGGTGTTAAGACAACATTTCAGAACACTTGAGAGAGAGGCAAGGAATAGCTGAGCACAGCTAACCAAACTTTGGAATCCACCAAGAATATCATGGGGTGGGGTGGTGGGAGACTATAAAAATTCAGACTAGAATTTGCCCTTAAGAATGAGCTTCAAACATAAGACCTTCAAGGTCAAGATCAAGAGCCTCTTCTCCTTGTCCTCATCATGGTGTACTCTGCTGTGATTGAGTACCGACTCTCTTGTTCTTATGGGTTTCATAGGTTTATGGGTCCCAGAAGGGGAAGTTCTCTTCAAGATACAGAGATGATTACTCACTAGGGCAAATGAAGAGCTCGGAATGGGAAGACCATGGCAAGGTGTGGAGAAGGCTGTGGGCAGGCTCTTGGGCTAAGCCCCACTTGCAGATCTGCTCATGACATCAGCACCAACACCTCTGGGGAAGGTGTTGGCCCCCAGAAAACAGGAGGTTTAGAGGCTGCCTCAGAACATCCCACTCAGCCAACGACTCAAGGTCTGGCCAGAGCCCTGCCATGGTAGGCACAGACCACATTGCACCTGCCTCAAAACATCTTTCCTGTATATCTCCTCCCATAGATATTGTACTTTCTTGAGGCTCTCCATAGCACCGTCAACTCAGACAGCTGCAAACCTGAAGGTACATGAGTCAAAGAGTTCAATTAGGCCCTCCCAAAGTCCCCTTGAATTAGAATCTATGAGGACGGGTCCAGGCACCTGCATTTTAATGTTCCTCCATGTGACTGCTGTGCTGAGAGGCTGATATTTGCCAAGCACTTGTGTTTCATTGCAATGATATTTCTGCACTATAACTATAGCCATTGTTGGAGAAAAATGCATCAATAGGAGGAAAAGAGAAGTGGAGAGGGGATAGTTTTGCTTATCCCTAAACATATGAAAACATAACTAGGCTGTTGAGTCCATTTTCAGATAATGCGTCAACTTATAATATTTTAAGATGGGCACTGCCCGATTGTAGAATGTCCACACAAGGACTGTGGCAAACTAAGGGGGTGAAGAGTGGTTAAAATAATCAGAACATTTCATGGCACAGAACAGACGTTGTAGTGGGGACAGACTATTGACCTTAGAATGTATAAAAGCCCATTAATGAGAAGAGAAGAGAGAAGGCAATTCTGTTTTGCTGTAGAAGGACCCAATCCATTCTGATGGAGTGCAATGCTTGCAAGATGAATCATGAATGCAAGATGCTTCAAGGTAAGCAGAACTTCCTTCCTAACAACTGCACTTCCACACCCATGGGACCTACTTCCAGAAGCAGCCGTGCATTTCCCAGCAGCAAGACAATCCTAGGAGAGCCTAGGCCTCTTAGGAAGCTGTGCAGGGACTCACAGGGTGTTTGGATGGTCTCTGACACCTCACCCGATTCTGAAGGTTGAGGACTGCAGACAAAGTAGACACTCAGTACCTGCACCTTGGATTAACTCATTTGACTGGTTTCATGCTTGCTATGGCTTGATTAGAAATATGTAAGGCATAAAAATACAGAACAAAATTTTAGACACAGCCTCAACAACAGATGTGCTTTGGAGCCAAGATGTAGAAACAACACAAACATCAATATAGATGGATGAGTGGATGAACAAAATGTTCAGTGTATATCCATATAGACACACACAATGGGCTATCATTCCGAATTTAAAATAAAAGGAAATTTTGACACATCCTATAACACGGGAGAACCTTGAGGACATTATATCAGGTGAAATAAGCTAGACACAAAAGGGAAAATACTGTATGATCCCACAGTATGTGAGGTATATGAGATCCCTAGAGTAGTCAAAGTCATAGAGACAGAAAGCAGAATGGCAGTTGCCAGGCACTGAGGGGAAAGGAGCATGGGAAGTTGGCATTTAATAGGAGCAGAGATTCTGTTGGGGCTGAGAAAAAAGTTCTGGAGATGGACAGTGGTGGTGGTTGCACAACATTGTGAATGTGCTCAATGCCACTCAACTGTACACTGAAGTGGGACAGCACAGTGGGAGAAAAGCCCAATATGCTTCTTTTGAGTTTAGAGTGGAGATAAGATGGCATCTGCTTGGGAGAAGGAAAGAGGGATGCAGAAACCCTGAAGACAGTTGTGGACAATAATCAGAGGTCGGTAACAGGAGGTACCATTGACCCCAGATTTCCAGACCAGTGTGCACGTCAGTCTGGCAGTTACTTGTGTTTTCCTTCAAACTTGTTGCCAGGTTGGAAGGACTGATGACATCAGAGGCTTCCAACCTTCCTGATTGGAAGGACCCGACTCCGTGGGTGCCTGGCAGGCCAGTGGACAACAGCATCTTCTCAGGGCTGGTCTCCATGCTTGACTTCTCCCCCGCTTAGAGAAGAGATAACAGGCTTGATGTCAAACAAAAGTTAGAAGAAGGCTTTGGCAGAACAGAACCAAAAGGATCTAGGTTCTGCAGAAGGGAAGAAAGAGTTTGGGAGAAACCACGGCCACTTATCAACCAGACTCTTGGTCTAAGGACCACGGCACGTCAGGATACTACACCCTAGAAGTGGTGAGGGATGATGAACGCCCAGGTCTCATCTTGAGCCCACACAGTGACTCCACAACCCAGATGTCCTTAGGCTCAGGAACCACCAACTCCTCCTCCAAATCCCCATCCTCGGATTCGGATGACCACTCCCTCTTCCAAGCCCGGCATGTCAGGCTACTACACCCTAGAAGTGGTGAGGGATGATGAACGCCCAGGCCCATCAGGTGAGGGGCCTGGAGGGAAAAGAGATTTGGGAAGATTGGCTAGTCAGGAGGAAGGGCACTGAAGTCAAGAAGATGTGTGGGAAAGAAAGGAAGGCCTCAGAAAGCCAGGATTAGAGAAAGACAGCACAGGGTGTGGGACAAGGACATCCACACGGAAGGAAAAGCTGGGGAACAAGGCAGTGGGGCTGGGAGGTGAGTCCGAGACAAGGGAAGAGGGACTCAGGGGAAGCCTTCCTTTTCTTCCCCAATGGAAGTAATTGTCTACAATGAGGAAGAGTCTGAGGACAGAGAGATGCAATAGTGGCCAGGCAGAGGTGGGGTGCATGGATATCAACACAGGAGAGGGACGAAGAAACGGCTTGGAGAAGGCCTCAGTCTGTGGGGCTAGAGAGGGTGGAAAAGAGGTTTGATGTGGTGGCGGTTAGGTAATCAGTGGCTGAATTCCAAAGACAGAGCTTGACACTGTACCCTGGTTTCTTTACTCAGCCCCTTGGGTAGATCCCAGCCCCCTGCCTCATTCTCCTGGCCAGAAAAGGAAGAGGGAGTGGTCATCCGAATCCAAGGATGGGGAGTTGGAGGAGGAGTTGGTGGTTCCTGAGCTTAAGGACATCTGGGTCGTGGAGTCACTGTGTGGGCTCAAGACGAGACTGAAGAAGCAGCGAGTGTCCTCAGTGCTTCCCGAGCACCACGAGGTCTTCACCACGCTGCTTGGTAGGAGGAGACTCCAGATAGCACGCTCCGATCCTATCCCTTTGAAAAAAGAAGAAACTTCTAATCACTACACTTTTCTAGTGAAAAAGAATGCCCTGCTAGTGGGCAAGCTGTCCATCCCTGGGGACGTGGTATGTGTCACTCAGCAGAGACACTTAGAAGGTGGTAGAGGATTAGGCTACACTTAAAAAGGCTCTGCCCTTGGGATAAGAAAGCTGCACCCCCTGAAACTTACTAGCTCTTGCTGATTTGGGGGAATCTAAGTGTTGGCATCTGTAGAGGGGGAGAACAAGGCTGTGTTTGTGCCCTGATGTGACTATCCGCAGAAAATGGCCCGAGTCACTGTGACTTCTGGAGTGGTACACTCGTGTGTGGTGAGGGTGAGGGTGTATGGTGAGGATCTTCCTCGTGCACATATGCCGCTGACGCCCAACCCCTCCCTCCGTCACTTCTCAGGGGAATCTCAGGGCAGGAGCCTCTGTCCCTTGCCCAGTGAATGTTCTCTCTCCTCTCACCTAACCCTTGGCCACAATTCAGAACTTTCTCCCAGGGAGGCACAGTTTTCCTCTTTGCTCAGAGTTGCTCCCACCACAGCAACTCTGCCCCGCTTCTCAACCTAACACATGCTCTCTTTTCACAGAGGATCCTGTCATTAGAAACTTCCTGGCCTGGGACAAAAGTCTGACAGTACCTGACAAAGTAAGGTGGTTTTGCTCCAGTACCGAGCCTGGGGGAGGGCGGGGCTTCCTAACCCACAGTTCCACTTCTCTCTGCCTCTGCGTCTCTCCCCCGGATGCTGCCACAGCCCTGAGCCTGTAGGACTTGCCAGCATCTCCCTCTGGGACCTGGAGGTCTCCTGCAGCGGAACACCCGGCCCTGCTCAGGTGGGGTCCTTTGGCATCTGAGGCCTCGGCACAGTGTTGTCCTGCACGTTGCCTCATTGGTCATCGCCAGTCTGAGCTCCTGGCCGCTCTCCTCTCAGCTCTCTGGGACTATCCTTCGCCGCAGCTCACCAAAGGCCTCCTGACACCAGCCATGCGGAACACCTTCCCTCCAGAGTTCCCGGCAGAGCTCGCCGTCCTGGGAGCACCGTGGACCTTGCTTCCTCTGACCTCTGTGATTTGTAACCAACCTTCAGATACATCCCCCCCACCTAAATGAGCAGCCACCAAACACGGGGGTCTGTTCTCTGAGCCGCAACCCCTGCCCTGCCTCCCATTCCCTAGTCCCCATGTTCTTCCTCTTCCACAAAGGACTCCTCTCTTACCGCTTTTACTCTCTCCCCATCAGCACCTCCTCTCTATGGTCATAGCCTACTTTGGCCGGGCTGGCCCCTTCTCCTGGCAGTACCGACACATTCATTTCTTCATAGCGCTGTGAGTACTTTGCGTCGTCCCATCAATCAATATTCAGCACCCTGGGAGGGGGAGAGGCAGGACTCTAACCTCTCGTCTACTTTTAACCTTTCTGTACTGTTTATTATGTGTATAAAAATGATGGGATTATACTGAGTGCTCTTCCACTGTTCTTTGTGAAAACAAAACACCCAAATGTCACTTTTAAAAAACTAAACAAAATGAAAGCAAACATAAAACTCCTCCTACGAGGAGAGAAAAACAAAACTGACACAACCTTGCCCCCCCAAGCAAACATCTGTTTCTGCTTCCTCTGTCCCTGTCCTTCCAGTGTCAACACCAAATGTGAGCGTCCATCTTCCTCCTCTGGATTCCCGTGACAGATGCCACAGCTCAGGCCCCCTTCACGACACAAAGACATTGCAAAATGCTCCCTGCTGGTGTTGGTTACAAGCTTCTCTCCCTGAGCCAATGGGCTTTATACGTGTTGCCTGCACATCCTTCAAAACACACGCCTAACCCCCCACTGCCTGACTTAACCCATCGGCTAACGACTGTCGCCATCAAGGCCAAGGTTCTCAGTTTGAATTCAACCCTTTCCACAATCTCTCCACAACCAAACCTGCTCACCACCTCGGTATTTCATTCCTGTGTTTCCTGCTCCTTCCAAATGCCCTTACCTCTATTTTCTCATGGTGTTCTCTGTCTGAGTGTCTTCCGCACGTACAGATCTGAAGAAAACTACCCAGCCTTAAAGTCAGTTCAAACACCTAACTCTAGTGATGCCTTCCCCATCTTCCAACTGCTGCATACCAGTAGCACTTTAGTTAAATCCTATCACAATATGACATTGTGGATTACAGTTTCTGATCTCCCCGCCACTTTCCCCAATCCCACTAACCTAGACATTTGCCAGAGGCAGGGTCTTCTCAAAATATCAAGCATTCTCAAAACAACACAATTCTTTTCATTTTGCAAGTGTTCATGTTATATTGAGTCTACGAGGTCACCAGTCTGGTAATCGGCTATAAGAGGCTGTAAAATCAAGCTTTCACTTATTCATTCATCCACTCATTATTCAACAAACCCTGATGACGTACGCCCTATGTACCAGGGAATGTGAGGTGACAGGAAGAGGGATCCAGGGAATGCTTGTTTAGTTAAATGCACCAACAGGAACCAAGTCCTGACTTAGCCATTTCCTAGGAGAGGGATGAATACAGAGACAAACCAGTCAGTTCCTGTCCCCTCAGGATGGGTGTGTGCTCGCATAACAAGTTGATTGGAAGGGGGACAGAGTAGGAACTGGGGAAATTGCAATGCCAACTGTCTTGTGTCAGGATGGCAGGAGACAGCCTCAGGCCTTGCAGGGGGTGGGGTCAGCCTGTGAGAGGCCCCTTCACAAGGTCTCTGTCCAACAGCGGCCTCCTGATGAAGGGGTGGTGCTCTGTGACACTGGGTGGGACTAACACGGCTCTTGTGCTGAACTTGGGCAGCCTGTCCTCCTCTCTGCAAAGCTGACCTCAGGCAGAGTCCCTTCTCTGCCTTCCTGCTGGTGTCCCTGACAAGCCACCTGATTTCTCTCTCCAGCTACCTGGCCAATGACATGGAGGAAGACAACCAGGCTCCTAAACAAGCCATTTTTCCATTCCTGTATGGGGAGAGCCGCTTCCAGCATCCTCTGTTCCACAAGCTGCCCTACCAGTTCATCCGATCCACAGCTGGAAGACCAGAGTTTCCCAGGAAGAGTGTGAAGAGGTGGGTGGGCTGTGGGGATTTGGGGGCAGGGGTGGGAAAGGATCGGGCTGGACTGGAGGCTGACGCAGGGAGGAAGGGGCCTCCCCTGGGAGTAGCCATCTTTCAGGAGGCTGTTTATCTCTCCAGATTCCGGCTTGAGATCCCGACCTCTGGGTGTGGGAGCAAGATTGCACCCTCATTCACCACAGCTCTGGGGACCATGGAGGACCAAGGTCATCGACCTGAAGATATGTACATCTACATCTGCATTCTCTGGGCCAAATGCACAATGATCTGTTGTCTTTGAGGGTATCTGAGGCACTCAATTCCTTGGCCCACTCTAGAACCCACACCCACACCCCCTCATACACATTGGGAAACAACCCAGTCACCCAACACAGCCAGACCCTCCAGTCAGCTTCACCACCACACACTGACAGCCACACACAGGCACAGCCTTGGGGGAGATGTGCTGGAAGCCAGTGAGGCCACCCAGCCACACCTCAGGAAAACCAGTTTGTCACAGAGGTATAGATTTGGTAGAATCCTTTAACCCAAAGCAACTGGGACCAAAGGACAGCTTTGATGAAATGACAATTTTCATCAAAAGTGAATATACTTTTGTGGTAAATTCACATTTTCCCCATATACTGTATTGTGTTTTCACTTTCTTTTTTTCATTCATTTGGGACTTTTAGTCCCGTAGACATACCGACTATATAGATTTACTTACACCGCGGTAAGGGTTTAACAATAGGATATGAGATGGAAGGGGTCTGCATGTTCAGTGACCAAACATAAATTATAACTACCAATATTTTCATCCAAATTTGCTTCCAGACAAAGTTGTTCACTACCAGACCAGTCCCAAATTCTTGCTTTCCCCCAACTGACCACTTCTGGACCAATTTCTCCCCATACAATCACAAATTTTCTCCCAGAATTCATGGTCAAGGAAGTCTGTCAGAACGATGGAAGGTTAAGACATACTAGCTTCAGCTCGGCTTATTATGACTGACATCTTCCAGTTATTAGTTTGGGAAGAGAATTAAATAAAGATTTGGCTTAACTCTTATGCAGCTAGCCAAGGTTAGGACCAAGCATTCTATGAAAGACTTAGTGGCCAGGTGCGGTGGCTCATACCTATAATCCTTACATGCAGGAGGCTGAGGCAGTGGGAGGATCCCTTGAGGACCAGCCCTAGCAAGGGCGAGACTCTGTCTCTACTAAAACTAGAAAAATATTAGCCGGGCATGGTGGTGCACACTTGTAGTCCCAGCTACTCGAGAGACTGAGGCAGGAGGATCGCTTGAGCCCAGGAGTCGGAGCTTGCAGTGAGCTATGATGATGCCACTATAGTCTAGCCAAGAGAGACTCTGTCACAAACAAATGAACAGCAAACAACATGAAGGATTAAGATGAGGGACCAGGCATCTGGTCTCATGATGCTGACGTGTTAATAATGCTTGATAGCCATAAGTTTAGATTTTAAGTAACAGAAAAGGTCCAAGCTGTGATGAACTCCAAAGCTATATTCTCCCAGCGCACTCTACTCGCTGAGAAAATCCCTCACCTAACATCCACCCTATCAAGCAGATTGCTGGGCCTGACCTTGGTTGAATTAAGTGGTTTGGGGAGTCAGGGTCACCAAGTCTGAGAATCAAAATTAAACATGATGGTTCAGGATCGGGGTTTAGAAGGAAGGGGTTAGAGATAAAACTGGATGGATGAGTTAGTCTAAACTCGAGTTTGGATTGACTCTGAATGTGAATATCTTCCTGTCTCCAAAATGTTCTCCTTCCAGTCTGACATCGTCTCTCTCTTACTTCCAGCTGGCTGGGCACAGGGGAGAAGCAGAACCCACTTTTCAGCTGTTTCTAACATGTTACAAAACCCAAACTTTGTGTTTTTGTTTTAACTAATATATTTTTTGCATTTCTCTAATTTTTGTTTCATTCTTTTTCTTTCTACATTGACCTTTTAAAAAAATATATCCTATTCCCTGCAGATATTTTTAAGCCTTTCTTTATACATAGTAAATATAGCCAGGTCCAATCATTCTGAGACCTGAAGTCCTCTCAGATCTGTTTCCACTGTCTGCCATTCCCTCCAACAGTGCCCCAGAGCCTTCATTTCCCACCATCTCATCCAGCTTTAATCTCTACCAAACAGAGGCGAAATAAATGTTATCTCATTTTTTATTTGTATGTTCTTCATTATAGTGATGTTGGTCATTATTGCTACCTCTATTAATGACTTCTCCTTTTCTGTGAACTGGCTTTTCCTTGTGTTTCTTTTCAGCTGTTTCTCTTTTTCTTATTGATATATGAGTTTTCGGGTCATTCAATAAACTGGCATTCCTCAAACATGCCATGGTGCCTGTGTGTTTATTTTTAACCCATGTGTGTTTATTTTTAACTCTAAGCTGCTCATTGGAGAATTGTGTGTGGAGCTCCTCTGAGTTCCAGGATCAAGCAAACTTCTCTAGAGAGAGATGAGGCTGAGGCTGCAGAGAGGGGACAGAGCTCCGGCCACTCCCAGGACACCGAGGAGAGGACCGGTGACAGGGGAGGAGGAGCGCCTGCACCCGCCCCAAGGCAGCGGACAGGTGACCACAGGACAGCAGCCGGGAGCCACAGGGACTCACGCAAGGGGCCACGCCCAGGCCGAGTCCTGCAGGCACAGTGGGGGACGAGGAGCAGCTGGCTCTGCTGGGGAGCACGGACAGCAGGAGTGGAGCGGGAAGCAGGGCTTGGATGTCCTGACAACTCGTGAGAGTGGATCCCACGAGAAACCTGAAACAAGGCACAGGACCGGGCACGAGAATGTTGCCCGAAGACAGAAAATGATGCCACAGGACTGCGGAAGACAAGAGGGCCGCCCGGATGGCAGTGGTGGGAACAGATGGACCACAGCACAGGTATCCCAGGACTTCAGAGTGGGGACAAGTACTGGGGAGCAGCTTTGGGAAGATGAAATAAAAAACATAAATAATTTAGAAAAATTGCTTTAAAATTTTAACAAAAATAAAAAATAACAATGATAAATCATGTAAGACATAGCTGTTTTTATTAAACCAAAAATATTAAAGTCGTCTCATTTGCTGAAGATCTAAATAAATTATGTTGTTTTAGTCAGTTTGGGCTGCTATAACAAGTTACCATAAACTGGGTGGCTTAACAAACAAATGTTTATGCCTCACACTTCAGGAGGCTGGAAGTCAAAGTTCAGGGTGCCAGAATGGTCCGGTTCTGGTGAGGGTCCTTTTCCAGGTTGCAGACTGCCAACCACTTCTTGTACCTTCACATGGTAGAAAGCAAGCTAGCTACTTCTCTGCTCTCTTATAAAGGCACTAATCCCCACCCATGAGGGCTCCACTCTCATGACCTAATTACCTCTCAGAAGCCCCACTTCCAAGTGCTATTTCATTGGCAGGTGAGAATTCTACCACTGAACTACCCATGACATTTCATTGGGATTAGGGTTTCAACATACAAATTTGGGGGTGACACAAATATTCAGTCTATGTGAACTTAAATTCTTAACATAGTTGAGTTGGTTTCTGTAGGAATACTTTGCTAGCACACTGAAAGTATTAGAAGTCCAATTTCCTTTTTATTTTTATTTTTTGAGAATTTAGGCATATCCAGTTTATATAAGCATGTTTTTATTTCTATAAGCCAATCAGAACAGTCCAAGATGCTCTGCTGGTGGGACTGCTAACTAGTTCAACTTCTGTGGAAAGAATTACGGAGATACCTCAAAGTGATACAAGTGGATCTACCATTTGATCCAGCAATCCCACTACTGAGCATCTACCCAAAAGATCAAAAGTCACTTTATGAAAAAGACACCTGCACTCGAATGTTTATAGCAGCACAATTCACAATTGCAAAGCTGTGGAAACAACCCAAGTGCCCATCAATTCATGAGTGGATTAATAAAATGTGGTATATGTATACCATGGAGTACTACTCAGCTTTAAAAAACAACGGTGATATAGCACTTCTTGTATATTCCTGGATAGAGCTGGAACCCATTCTACTAAGTGAAGTATCTCAAAAATGGAAAAACAAGCACCATATGTACTCACCAGCAAATTGGTATTAACAGATCAACACCTAAGTGGACATATAGGAGTAACATTTATTGGGTGTTAGGCAGGTGGGAGGGAGGAGGAGGGAATGGGTATATACAAACACTACGAGTAAGATGTGAAAAGTTTGGGAGATGGACACGCTTGAAGCTCTGACTCGAGGGGGGAGGGGGAGCATGGGCAATATACGTAACCTTAACACTGTACCCCCATAATACGCTAAAATAAAAATAATTAATTAAAATAAAGATGCTCTATAATCTACTTTAGTAGTATTCAGAGGTAGGAAAACATTATACATAGAATCAGAGGTAAAGACCTTTCTGAATTACAGACACATTGACATACAAAGAAAGCGAGTTTATAGCTTCAATTCTAAAATTTCAGACATGAGTCAAGAGTAAACACAGAAACGCAAAAACTCACCAGTCCAGATATCAAAGAGCTGTTTTCCCGCTGGGCATGAACAAAAAGACAAACAGAAAAGACTAATAAGCCAGCCTTTCTGTTGTGTCTCATTTAATAGAAATTAGACTTCTGGAAACATTAACCCTCGAAGAGATCGCCAAGTGGTCAGACCATAAGGCCAAATTCGCAATCATTGATGGTAGCAGTGGTAAAAATGAATAAATAAAAATAAAAACAAATTTTAAAAAAATAAAATAAATAAAAACCCTCAGCTGTAAAGGAACCAGAACCAAAGCAAAACACAAAATTGGTAGAAGGGGAAATCACTAAAAAACACGACCTAGTCCGCAAAGCCTTTTGGCCCTGTTGGACTCACTCCTGGGAGCCAAGAAAATCTGCGCCTGGGCTTCAGCCCCTCGCCTGCGCATGTGCGCCACTCTGCAGACGGTTGCGGCTCAGTTTCGTGATGGGGGAGGGTGTCTCAGTGAAGACCTCAAAACCGTTAAAACAGAAGAGCAAGATTATGACTGTCACGCAGATAGAAAAATGAGCATATGCTAAAGATTTCATTTTAATTCAACAGGCCCCGGCAGGTATTATAACCAGTTCAAAAGGGAATCTGAGGAACAGGCATATTTACAGATCAGGAATATTGAAATTATTAAGTAAATGGAGAAATGGAATCAAAACTGGATTTTCTCTGGTGTAGGGGGGGAGTCGACCAACTTCCGCCAGGCAGGACATAGTTTGCATCCGTTAACCACAATTTTCAAAGAGTTGTAAAATAGCGCAAAGACTATGAACAGGGCTGAAATCAAATAATAAGGTCTTCCAGACAATGCTTAATTTTCCATTGAAACACAAAATTCTTTTTCTACACACTTTACCCTCTTCAGGATGTAAAGTTATGCGTAATTTTCTTGTTTCAATTCTGTATGCCGTTTCTGATATAAGGTTGTTACGAATTAAAAGTGGTTTGGAAACGCTAAATTTCTTTTCTCCTTGTTGGGGGGAGGAAGGTATCCTCTTCCAGGCTAATATTCTAATTTATCGCTGGGCTCTATGTCCTAATATTTTAGTTAAATGTCTCACTTGTCATCATAAGCAAACGTGACATGACGCACCCCTTTCCTCTATTTATCATGATTGTGCGCGGGCACTGATTCTCTTATTATTTAATTTTGATTGACTGACTGAGACAGGGTCTCGCTCTGTCGCCCGGGCTGGAGTGCGGCCGCCAGCACACCTCACTGCAGCCCCGAGCGTGGCCTCGCGGGATCCTCCCACCTCACCCTGGCACGGTGCCAGGTTACCTCCTTAATCACTGCGCCGGGCCTAGACGGTCCCTTAAAGACGTATAGCCTTAGAATAAGGAGCAACGTGAGTTCGGGTCTGGGGGCTGCCAGTGCCCAGAGCACAGAGCCTCTGAGAACCAGACGAGGCAGAGACCTTTAGGACGTTCCCTAAACCTGGTGGCGCGTAGACTTGTAGGAAGTAGAGTCCTGGTACCCGTCCTGGGACAGGTGGCTGGCGGTCCCGGAGGTGGACTCTGGTGCTCTCCTGCGCATGTGCGACTTGGCCTAGTTGCCAAGCTTCGTTCGAGCTTCGGGACTGGGACTCGAGCACGCCCACAGCCTGTGCAGCCCCGGGTTCCCGCGGTCTGCGAAGGCCCCAGCGGGGGGCCGTGGAGCGCACTTACCACTTTGGAGATTCTTTACTGGATAAATATATAAGCCCCAGCTTGGGTACTGGCCTGCCCCTTGCCATTCTTTGGTTGTTATTCTTGCAGTTTGGACCCAATCCTCCTAGCTCTCACCTGCTTGTGTTTGTTTGGCTTTGAACTTCAACTCCCAGTACCTACCTCAGGCAAAAGCTCACAGTGAACTAGTGACAAAAGGATGTCTCCTTAACAAAATGTATCACGTATCAATGCCTCTCACGTGCGAGGAATAGCATACTTGACAAAAGATGGCTTAAATAGTAAGAAGGCTTTTTTCTCAGGTGGTTGTTAACCAGCTCTGGGCCAGCTTCTCTAGGATTTTGGCGTCCCTGACTGATCATGAAAATGGCTGCAGCAAGTGTAAGGACCAGGGTCCTCCCAATTGTGCTAAAGATAATGGCCCCATGGTCTTCCTCCCACAATTCCTGCCTTTTATTATGGAGGAAAACCTTCACAGGACTACGCTCCAGGCTGACTTCTGTTTACATCTCACTGGCCAAAGCTACGTTCCAAGTATATATCAAGGCTGAACCCCTCTTACTATTTCTGTCAGTTCCTTGTCAAAATCCTTTGCATCTGGCTTTTTTCCCCCGCAACACAATGTTTTCAATATCATCCATGCCATGGCATGTATCAATACTTCATTCCTTTTTATGTCTACATAATATTCCGTTATATGATTAGATATAATATAATAAACATAATATACCACATTATGCCACACCTGACTTATCCATTCTTCAGTTGATGGACATTTGAGTTTGTTTCCACTTTTTGCCTATTGCAAATAAGAAAGCTACGACATTTATGATTTCCAAAAATCTTTGCTAGTTCTCAGATTATACCTTCTATATGGTTTCTCTTTAAGGCCATGGAGTCATTCATCTTATCATTATGTGGATATGGACTCAAAGTTATCTTCAACTCCCAGTGTTTTTCTCTGTTCCCTGTGAGTCCCTTTTTTTACAATTCTCTTGATCTGTCTCTTTTATTGGAAGATTGTGTCAAAAAGTCTGTGCTTCTAGGCTGTCCAATCCTATTTGATGTTGAGAAATTATAAAGTCGAATCAGATGAGCTTGTCAATGGCCAGGCTTCACGGTAGCATTTTCACTGGTGACATTTTGTCTTGGTCCACTCAGGCTGCCCTACCAGAATCCCATAGATAGGATGGCTTATAAACAACAGAAATTTATTTCTCACAATCCTGGAGACTGAGAAGTCCAAGGCCGAGGTGCTGGCAGATTCCATGTCTGGTGAGGGCCTACTTCCTAGTTCACAGACAGCCACCTTCCTGCTGTGTCCTCTGGTGGTGGTAGGGGTAGACAGCTCTCCGGGGTCTTTTATAAACGCACTAATCCCATTCATGAGGCCTCCACCCTAATGACCTTCCAAAGTCCCCACCTCCTAATACTATCACTTTGGAGGTTAGGATTCCAACATACAAATTTGAGGGGGACACATTCACTTGGTACATATTTGTCACTATCTAAAGATTCCTTTGCAGGGGCTGGGAGTAAGAAGACTTCATTTTTCCAGAGAAGGACTATGACATTGTGAAATATATATACATATATATATTTCCCCCTGTCTCCTGGCATACAACTCCTAAAAAAATCCTCAGAATCTCCAAAGTGACGATTGCTTTTTTGTATGCTAAAGTATGTTGTATGTTGACTGGTGGCAGGCAGCACCCCGAGTAGCTTCAGGATGGGGGCTGGTCACCCAAAAGACAAGGCAGGATTAGAGGGCTGGAACTTTCACGCCACCCCCAACCTCCAGAGAGAGGAGAGGGGCTGAAGTTTGAGTTGATCACCAATGGCTGGCGATTTAATCAATTGTGCCTATGTAATGAGGCTTCTATAAAAACCCAAATAGGCTATGTTCAGAGAGTTTGTGGATAGCCAAATACTTGGGGGCTTTCAAGAAGGTGAAGAAGAACACATCTATGTGCCAGGAGAGTGGCACACCCCATATCCACTGGTGCAGAAGAACAGGATCCTTCTAGACCTTGCCCTATGTATCTCTTCATCTGGTTGTTTATTTACATCCTTTAAAATATCCTTTGTAATAAAATAGTAAACTTAAATGTTTCCCTTGAGTTTTGTGAATCACTCTAGCAAATTCATCAAACTCAAAGAGGAGGCCGTGGGAACCCCAATTTATAGCCAATTGGTCAGAGCACCTGGGGCTTGTGGCTGGCATCTGAAGCGGGGAGCAGTCTTGTGAACTGAGTCCTCAACCTGAGTAATCTGATACTATCTCCAAGGAGATGGTGTTGAAATTGAATTCAATTGAGTTGGAGGACACCTAGCGGATGTTCACTACAGAATGGATGGTTAGTGGTTGATTTGTTGGTGGAGAGAAACCCCCACACATTTGGTGTCAGAAGGACCTTGCAGTTTCTTGATTGATGAACACAAACCTGGATGTTGGTGTTCTGGAGCCAAAGAGAGGACAGCTCCCTGTTCAGCAGGGAGACTTCGATTTTCCTCCCCATTTTCCATCTCACACCTCATCCTCATCCTCATCCCCAGGAGGCTTCTACATCCATGCCTCCTGTCCCTGAATTTGGAGCAGGGATCCTGTATAGATCTTTCCAGAAAATATACCTTTATTCTCTTGGGCAGGGGGTCCAACTGCTCCTTATGCAGACTGTCAAATAACTCCTCTCCTGCTGTTCCAGCCACTTGCCTAATCCTCACCCTGTACCACCTGGCGTCGCCAACTCCAGACCCTTTCCTGCTCTGGGTGCCAAATTGGGTAGTCCCTCCACAGAGGGCTGTCCTTCCTATGATCTGCTGGCCACTCACCATTCTTCCATATCCTTTCCCTCTTTATATATTGTGTCTCAGGTTTAATTTTCAAAATGGAGCTCCTGTTTCTGTCTCTTTATTGTCTTACTGTTGTTTGAGTGGTTTTTCAAGGATGAAAGCAGCCTTATTCCACCATCTTAAAACCAGAAGTCTCTACTGACTTTCAAATTAGAAAGCAGACATTGCTGTCATCAATGATGTTGTTTTGGGTTGTTTTAAGGTATTTGTACTCCTACTCTATTTTTAGAGGACCTTCTCAATGTTGTCTTTCATTCCATTGATTTAACTAACTTTTTTCAGTGTTCTTTCAGCTCTTTCCTCTCTTTAAGGTGGATTTAAATTCTGTCCTTGCATTCTGCCTATCTTTGCTTTATTATAATTGTATCCAGACTCCCTCCATGTTCATATCTGCCTGCCCCTGAGCCTGAATTTCTTTTATGGTACCTATACATATTAGATAGAGGCGATAGCTATTGTGCTTTTAAAGCACTAAGAAGATGTTCAAACTTTTCCTCTTTTTTTCTTTTTGTACAAAAAAAATTGTTTTCAGAGATATGCTTTCCCTAAGACTCCACACCAGTGAACACTCCCTTTAATGATGTCGTGGCATCTTCAAAGGACCATATTTCTGTCTCTTGACTCATCCTTGTATGAGGTCAGATCTGTCAAGGCCCAGAGATCGCCAACCAGCAAGGTGGGCTGCCTCCCACTACCTGTCCTGGGAGGTAGCCCTAAAAGGGAGGTGACTTGCATGGCGCTAGACTAACGTGAGATGCTTCACAGACATTGACCTCCTGGAGAACTTTTGGTTCCTTGCACAAGCTAGAGAGTCACATCAACTTTGCATTTCTTCCTTGGCCACTGTAAGGCACAAAAGACTATACCCCACGGTACACAACTGGGACAAATAGAGCTGCTAATAGGATTCAAGCAAAATAATCCCCAGTAGCCCAGGGATCTGCCTGAAGTTAAAAATCAATCACTCCTAACAACTTTTTTTCAATGCTCCATAGCAGGATGTGTGGCTGCGTCCTGCGGCGGCTGCTGGCGGAGGAGGCGGGGCACTCCACCCGGTAGGGCACCTCCTGCTCCCAGTGCTCCTGGGATTCTGCCTCGCGCTGCTGGCTGCCGGCGGGCCTGGCGTCTACGGCGATGAGCAGAGTGAATTTGTGTGTCACACCCAGCAGCCCGGCTGCAAGGCCGCCTGCTTTGACGCCTTCCACCCTCTCTCCCCACTGCGCTTCTGGACCTTCCAGGTCGTGTTGGTGGCTGTTCCCAGCGCCCTCTACGTGGCTTTCACCCTGTATCATGTGATCTGGCGCTGGGAAGAATCAGGAAAGGTGAAGAAGGAGGAGGAGACCCTGCTCCACGCAGGGCAGAGCGGCAGAGGTGCCCCAGCGGCTGGAAGCCCCCGGCTGCTCTGGGCCTACGTGGCACAGCTGGGGGCTCGACTGGCCCTTGAGGGGGCAGCCCTGGGGTTGCAATACCGTCTGTATGGGTTCCAGGTGCCCAGCTACTTTAAATTTGAAACAGAGTCTTGCTACTCTGCTGTAAGCTGTAATGTGTCCCGCTCCTCTAAGAAGACCATCTTTCTAAAAACCATGTTTGGGGTCAGTGGGTTCTGTCTCTTGTTTACACTTTTGGAGATTGTACTTCTGGGTCTAAGAAGATGGTGTGAGCCCCTGGGGAACTTCCTAGGTAGGTCCTCTTCTTCCCGCCATGGACAGCATAAGGGCCCTCAAGCAGAGACTATGACCAATCTGCCTGGCTCCTTCCCAGAGACCATGTGCCTTGTGTCCCCAAAGTCCTAGTGAATAAGGGCAACATTTCCTGACCTCCCCTGCCAGTGGATATGGCCAAGTGGATAGGCCACTTAACCAAATGAGCCAAACTAGTTCTCTCCCTTGGGATTCTAGATGCCAACAATGTGAGCCATCTCTGCCAGGGGCATGAACAGAGAAGAGAAGAAATCTGAGTGTGCTGGGTGAACATCTGCCCTATGGATGAGTGAAGGAAATGCCTGGTGTGCCTAGACGAAGAAAAATGAAATCAGTGATGAGAAATTAGAGATATGAGATCACACAGGCTCAGAAAGAGACAGGCACAGAGAAAGAGGTAGGGATGGTCGGGGGGGGGGGGTCTCTCTTGGTTGGTGATGATTTTCCAATTTCTGGTTCCACTGTCCCTAAAGATACCCTTCCTTTCTTGAGTAGTGTAAGATCCAGTAAATAAACTTCCCTGTTTGCTTTCAGCACATCAACTGGGTTCTGTTTCTTAATCCCAATTAACCCCTGACTAGGAATACTGCTGATATCAAGATGTGGGCTTGTGAGAAAAAAAAGAAAATGTGGAACCAGGTGTGACATCCATATGTGTAGTGAGCCGTGGGAACTCACACAGCCCAGCACAGGAAGAGGACCACTTCCTGCGTTGGGAAGTAAATATCTGCTATCCTCCATAGTCTCATGGGGCCCAGACAATATGCCCATTAGATTAAGGCTGTTGTCTACTAAATATAAAGATACTATTCGACTCTGCTTACTTTCTGGAGATTTAACTAAATCTCAGTAAGAGAAAGACATCCTCCCATCTACAGCCACCTTGCCTTGCCTAAACACAGGCATTTCTCCCCTGCTTGGAAAACACCAATAATTGGGATGGGGATAGAGAGGTTGCAGAAAACTTTGGGGAAAGCTAAGCCTCTCTTTGCCCCTCCAGAGCACCTTCCTTTCTGACCCGCCTAGAAAAGGGTGTGGAATATCTCTGTATGAAATGAATTCTTTTCACAGATTGGAATTGAGCCTGGGGAACCAGGCTGACAGCGTCCCTGCCCCAGCCACTGTCTTACTAACCAGGCCCTGTGCACGTGTGGGTTAGAACCATGGGGATTGCAGAACTCAGGCCTACGCATGGCTAAACACCAGCAGCTTTGCAGCATAAGGATCCAGGGAGAATAGGTCTATGGCCCCAGGGCATTACCCTGCAGCCCATCTCTGGGCAGACTTCTAAAGCTGAGTGGGAGATGTAGGGCAATTCAGCTCCAGTAAGCAAGCATTATGAATGAATCACATCAATGGGGCAGAAAATTACAGTATATGCAGGTGCTACCAGACTAGGGACAAGCAATACTCTGAATACACATCTCCATATTATTTACACATTGATTCATACCACCTCACCTCTCCATAAATTGTTTTGTCAGAGTCTTGAGAAACAATATTCTAAAGCAAAAACAAAATGGGAAAAATGAGGTAAAGGCCAAATTGTTCTGGATTAAACATTTGAATATGAAAAGCAATACTTTAAATTTATTACTGAAAAATATTTGTATAACTTTAGGGGCAGAAAGGATTTAAGCAATACTCAAAAAACATAAGCCACTACATTAAAACTTGTGTATAACAAGAGACACAAAGTGAAAAGCAAACCCACATACTGGGAAAATATATTTTGCAACTCATAAAATCAATAAAAGATTTGGTAACCAAATGTATTTCAAAATGCCCACAAATTAATGAGAAAGGCAAGTGGAGAACACAGAAATATTATGAGGCTGGGCGCAGTGGCTCACGCCTGTAATCCTAGCATTCTGGGAGGCTGAGGCGGGCAGATTGCTTGAGGTCAGGAGTTTGAAACCAGCCTGAGCAAGAACAAGACCCTGTCTCTACTATAAATAGAAATTAATTGGCCAACTAATATATTCAGAAAAAATTAGCCGGGCATGGTGGTGCATGCCTGTAGTCCCAGCTACTCGTGAGGCTGAGGCAGCAGGATTGCTTGAGCCCAGGAGTTCAGTGAGTAAGGTTGATGCCACGGCACTCTAGCTCAGGCAACAGAGTGAGACTCTGTCTCAAAAAAAAAAAAAAAAAAAGGAAAAGAAAAAAGAAAAATATTATGAACCAGCAACTCATAGAAGAAAAAATAGGTATGAATAATAGATACTTAACTTCATCAGTAAATAGGAAAATGCAAATTAAAACACTGAGATATATCAAAACCACAATGAGATGCCACTTCACACCCACTAGAATGGTTAGACTCAAAAAGACAGACAAGTATTGATGAGGATATGAAAAGTTGGAATCCTCATACACTGCTAGTGGGAATATAAAATGGCACAGCCACTGTGGAAAACAGTTTGGCAGTTCATCAAAAGGTTAGACATAGAATTTCCATATGACCCAGCAATTCCACTCCTAGGTACATGCCTAAGAGAAAAACATATGTCCACATAAAAACTTGTAGAGGAATGTTTATAACAGCATTATTCATAATAGCCAAAAGATAGAGAAAACCAAATGCCCATGATTGGATAAATAAAATGTGATATATCCATACAATGTAATATTACTCAGCTATAAAAAGGAATGAAGGGCCAGGTCTTGGGTCAAAGTTGATGCAGGGGGATGCACTTACCGATTTACACTGCCACCAGCAATGCATAAGTTCCCACATTCCCACACCTTTGCTCATACAGCATGTCGACAGACTTTTTGGCCATTGAGGTACACATATTGAGGAAATGAAAGGTGAGAGATTAGGGTGACCCCCAAATACTTTCAATATACACACTGTTCCCACTCACTATGCCCCATTAACCCTACTGCTTACAATCTCTAAGCTGAACCCAGACTCTCACACCTTTCTAGCCTTACCCTCTAAATGTGCCCAGAGAGGTCAATGTCACTGGCTTTGGACTTCTCATTCCAAGGATGCACTTCCTACTCTCGCCTGCCCCTGAGCTACATGGTAACCTTGAGCTCTGCTGGAGAGAAACCACACAAATGTTAAGTCAGAGCTCTGGAAGGCTCAGGTACCAACTTAGGCAGTGGATTCTGAAGTTGGATGACATGGGTTTAAATCACAGCCCAACCACTTCCAGTTCTGACCTTGAACAAGTTAGTTAAGCTCTTCATGCCTGTTTCCTTGTCTGTAATACTCACTACTTTATAGGATTGTTGTGAGATTAAATGAGTTAGTATATGTTAGGTGCTTAGAGCAGTGCGTGGTATATAGTAAGTGCCCAATAAATGTTTGCTATTACTTCCGCTGCTTTGTCACACTGGTACCGCACACACTCAGCCCTGGCTCAGCTTCTCCCGCCACTGCCTCTCAGCATGTAAATGTGCTTGTTGCTCCCATCTTAAGAAAACAAACTCTCTTGCCTCTGTGAACTGCTCACCTTCCTTTCACAGCCACACCCTTTGAAAGCAAGGTTCTCACTCATTCATTCACTCTCTTTTCTCTCCTTCCATTCATTTCTCAACTCTCCAAGTTAGTAATAGCTCTCTCTCCAGCCCACCACTCAAACTGCCCTCACCAATGGGCACATCTCAACCTTTATCTTACTTGTTCTCCCCTGGCATTTGATACTCCTGACCACTCCATCCCTGAAGCCCCCTCTCTTGGGTTTCAGGCCACCTGTTGCTCTTCCCTGGAGACTGCTCCTTAGTCTCCAGTATTGCTTTATTTCCCCCCATGCACTCCTTAAGGGCTGCACCACAGGACCATGTCGCCTGCCTTCTCTGTCCCCATCACACACCCTCTTTCTGGGCCATCTCCCCATGTCCATAGCTTCATCCACCAACGTCCTCATGAATGCAGATCTCCAGTCTGGGCTGCCTCTTGAGCTCAGGGTTAAAAATCCATCCGTTCACAAGCCATTTCTACCAGGCTGCCCATCAGGACCCTCCGAGGCTCACAGCACCTGGGGGGAGCAGTAGCCTTCTCTGAATCCTTGAACATCCAATCTTTATGTGCAGGATCGTAAAACACATTGTGTGCGGCAGTCAGATTTCCTTCTTAGGCGAATGAGATGGAAGTGCAGTTTTCAGGATCCAGGAAAGGTATTTCTGCCTTTGGGTGTAGGCTCAGTTGCAGTTGCATGTTGTTGCCACGAGAGGACACTATGTATTCTGCTAACAGATTCTGAGCTGTTAAAGCTGCTTTAATAACCTGGGCAGAGAATGTTTTAAGATCTAGTCTCTTGGTAATTTTCAAGTATACGATACTTGTATATTATTAACTAGAGTCACCATGCTGTAAAATAAATTTACTCATCCTGTCTAACTGAAACTGTACCTTTTGACCAACATCTTCCCATGCTAAAGAACTAGTGATGAATGAATGTGACTTGGGAGAGGTCATGCTATTCGGATTGTTTGTCCACTATATGGGGGTTAAGACCAAAATTTTTGTGCATGCCTGTGGCTACCGATTCAGGTTAGTGATGCAGTCTGTGAGGGATCATCATCTCTTCTTCCTGAATAATGTACAGTGTCTGACTATTGCCAGACAGGGAATCTGTCCATTTGCCTTTATAAATAAAATATCTTTGAAAGCTATTCCAATATTTGTTAAACCCTAAATAGGAACCCCTTTTGTGCCCTCCTACCCTGCCCCAGGGATCGATAGCTCAAGTGCTTTCTGGGGGCATCTTTCTCAATTCTGTTCTTTGGAATGGCTAAAGGAATAGGAGTAGAATGTTCTGCCCATTTATACTAGTTTTCTAAGGATGCCATAACAAAGTACTAAAGTGCCAAACAACAGAAATTTACTGTCTCACAATTCTGGAGGCTAGAAGTTCAAGATCAAGGTGTCATCAGGGTTGGTTTTTTCTAAAACTCCTGTCCTTGGCTTGCAGGTGGCCGTCTTCTCTCTGTCTTCACATGGTCATTCCTCTGTATGTGTCTGTGTCCTAATCCCCTCCGCTTTTAAGGACAACAGTCATGTTAGATTAGGGCCCACCCCAATGACCTCATTTTGCCTCCGGAAAGGCCTTACCTCCAAATACAGTCACATCCTGGAGTAC